GAAAAAAGTATAGTTTTGAAACCGTACATTTTTGCTGAACATAATTCATATAGGGTGGAATTTTGATATGCCATCTGTAGGGGAAATACTCTTATTACTTAAGATAGAAAATTTGACTCAAAGATAACTTCCTTTATTTCTAAAAAGAAGGATAAGTGCATTCATAGATTTTTAAAATTCGCTTGCCGCACACGGTATTTATGCCGACTAAAATCTATAAAAGTTGCACCATGTACCACCACCATTGAATCGATTGTTATTCTCAATAAGGATGAAATCTCTCTAAAAAACTTCATAAATGTAATGAAAGAAAAACAATGAACGATCAATGCAATAAAAGTACAGGGTGCAAACTTTGACAGATTGTATGTGACCGTGTGAAGTACCTAAGCTAATTTTTAAAAATCTATGAATACAGTTCTTTTTTCTTATCAAAATTATAGGAATATTTCTTTGAGTAAAATGTTCTATCTAAAGTATTAAGAGTATTTCCCTTTTAAGTGGCATTACAAAATTTCACCCTGTATAGGGTTGTTTAGAGGTATTGATCCCAGCTATCACCCCTCACAGTATGGTGCACTATTTACAGGACATCCTGTATATCTGTCATTTTTCTAAGTCTAGTAACGTTAACATTACACACGCACACACAATGGTTTTTCTGTTTGTTACATCTTCTTCTTTTACATAAAAAATCCGCTGACATTTCTGTGCTTCAATCTTTATAATAATATAAGCGACATTATGTTCGCCTTTTTTTCAATATCCTTGATCCGAATAAAAGTTTTCTACCTTGCTTTTTTACCTCTTTAATTATACTTTATAATGACATTGCTTAGCCACGCGCAATCCAGTTACCTTTAACGACGTCATTCCAGTAAGATAATCTCGCTTCCTAAACTTCAGACATTGACACATCCAATTGTGGTCAGTGACGTCACAGGCCAGGCTTCTGGAAGTTACAGAAAGTTAGCTAACCATGTTAGACGCAGTCAGAAAAGTTAGAGTTCCTGGTTTGTTGATAGGATGCTGTTGATGGGATTCTGAAGGGTTTTTGTTGGGTATACAACCAGTTTCATCGTTATTATCATCAACAGGCTTGCAGTCTTTTGCTGGGTTAGGCGCCTCCTCTATATTAGAGGGTTTGTCATAATCACTTTTGGTAGGTGAAGCAGTCGCAAATTAAAAGGATCTTATGACAAAAAAAAGAATCCTGAAAATCCTACGGGACCAAGAGATAACGGGATTGCGCGTACGAAGTCGCGGGCAGAAGCTAGTATTAAATTATATTTTAAATCACATAAGTGACTTTATTCGTATTATTTAAAATGGCGTCTAAGTCATGTGGAATGGTTTTATCATGGTAATGTTAAGTTAAATCCACATTTCGAAAGCAAATGAGACCAGCCTCCCCTTGGAAAAATATCCTTATGAGTCGTGTGGCCAGGGATTTGTGAATTGGTCGGATAATTCGATACGGATTTAAGAATTTGTTTTGGAAAAGATTTGTACCACAATAAGCAATGGTGTATCGTATACTTACTAGCACTTTTATAATATAATAGTTTAACAATCGTTAGTGGTAATAATAGTTTTATAATTTAGCTTTTTTTCTTTCTCTTTCTCTCTCTTTGTTTTTAAAGCTTTTTATTGTTATTTCGTAATATGAGCAGCATTCCGCGTAGTAGCATGGCTTGAAACTAGTCGATTTCTTCGTCAAATAATTACGTGAGTAAGCTGAAAAAAAAAATTAATCGTGAACTACAACGCAAAAAGCCTAACCAGGAATATCCACAATGCTCCCAAACATTTGGTGACCGTATTCATAGCCCAGCCCCACCGCTTAATAACGTACTGACTAACCAGGATTTATTTAGTCAAATATAACCAATGCGGCATATTTAATGTAATATCGACACGTGCCAGTGTATAATGTAAGGTATTTTTTATCTGATTTACAACTAGCGCCTGCCAGCGGCTTCGCCCGCGTTGCCGTGGTATAAAAAGTAGCCTATGTGTTATTCCCGACCATAATATACCCTTTTTCCAAATTTCGTCTCGATCCGTTCAGCCGTTTTGACGTGAAAGAGGAACAAACAAACAAACAAACACACACACACACACACATACACTTTCGCATTGTTTAATATATAGCGACCCGCCCCGGCTTCACACGGGTGCAATATGCATGTATTATATACATACTAGCTTTTACCCGCGGCTTCGCTCGCGTCACAAAATAATAAAAAGTAGCCTATGTGACACATACCAATACACACAGCGCCATCTATACCAATACTTTTGTTTTTCCTCGGGAATATAATTTTTTCCGGGTTAAAAAGTACTTTTTTAACCCGGACTTATTATTTAATCCGGACTTTTAACTTTACGCCTGCAAAAATTCAAAGCAATCGGTTGCGTAGTTACGGCGTGAAGGTGGAACAAACAAACAAACTCACTTTCAGATTTATAATATTAGTAAGGATATAAACCTTCCTCTTGAATCACTCTACCCATTAAAAAAACCGCATCAAAATCCGTTGCGTAGTTTCAAAGATTTAAGCATACAAATGGACATAGGGACAGAGAAAGCGACTTTGTTTTATACTACGTAGTGAAGTAGGATACCTACTAGTAGGATTGTAATGTAGGAAGTAGAAGTAAGGTGTTAAATTTCAAAAATATCTAGGTACCTTTTTTCGACCTGGAATTCTTCATGGAGAGGTGTCGCCTGGGGTGGACGACAGGGACTGTCAGACTTTTACTGACTAAAGGTAAGTACCTACTAAAACCACCCCCGGTGTCTCGTCACACCCGTGGGTATGAGGGAGGGTGCGGGCCGTGAGGTTCATACCCACCAGCACATACCTACAGGTACCTAGACCAGATGCAGATGTGCTCACCACCAGACTAACAAAACGTTAAAGCGTTTAATTTCATGGGTAGGCAGTTGTCGACGACATATTAATTAAATAAGGTAGTTGTAGGTGCCTAGATATTCACTCGTTAAAGTTATCATTCTCATTATATTCTCAAGTACCTTTTATTTAATAGGTACCTACTTAGATAAATTCATAAACGAATACCTATACCCTACTAGTGACCTATAGGGAATTTCTCAGTTCGGTAATCGAATTTAGAACCTTACCTACTGTACATTGAGGCAAGCATTGTACTTATAATACTGGTCTAGCACTATTGTTACCTCTTACGTACCTATTTTAAAACATGGATGAACTGAACATACAGAAATCGTTAAATCTCATCCTTTGGAACATTATTCCATTATTCTAGTACTAATTAAAACAACGCAACGTTAGTACGATCGATTGTGCTTTACATTACTCGGGAATCGAACCGATATACAATCTTCTGCCGTCCGGTTAATTAAAAACCACGAACTCCGAGTCTGGACCACAATCAAGGTACATTCATCAGATTTTATTTAACAAAGGAATTTCGACTTTATTGCTAATGCAATAACGTTTAAAATTGTATGACGATCTTAATGTTTTGTTTTGGTTAATTTTAGTCTTAAAATAAATTCGTTTTGTGTTCGATTCTGGTGTTAAGTAGTGATATTTCAGGTTAGAAAGGAAATGTATTGTTCTTTTCATTTTTTTTTTGTTTTCCTAAAATTAAAAAGGGACCTAATCACATTATGAAACCATATTAAACTGTCAAACACCGGCGACCGCAACCTATTGTTCTTTAATTGTGTCTATAATGACGGTACTCAAAGAATTAATAAAGAAAATACCCTTAAAGAAGAAGTCGGTTACAATACAAACGAAAATTATTAGAAATTGTGAATTTGTTCATGATCAAGCGCATTGTTCAAATAAAAATATCAATCCTTGTCTCCTTTGTTCGGCGCTCATCGCCCGAGCCGAAGCTAACCGAGCGCACGCGATGGCACACGAAATAACCCGAACGACCCAAGCTCCGCCCCCTCTGCGCATCGGGTCACGGCCGTTTTCAATACGCAAAATTATTGTGCAATGTTTTGTAGATAAGATGACAAAATTCACTAACATATTCTATGTATCGATATTTTTATAGTTTCCTCGTTGGTTGATTAAATAATAAGTGTGACTGTGGAGTAAAGGGTCTCGGGTTTTATTTCCGGGTCGAATTCTATTGACATTTTGAAAATTCTCGGTAATGTTATAGCACGGAGTTGTTTGTTTATGGTTATTTTACTTAGTAGGTACCTACCTACCTATGGGTTATGTTTAATTTTAGTCAAACGTCACGTACCACTGATCTTACCTAGTCGGGAATAAATGCAATAATCTTATAATAAACTATCATAACAATTCGTCGTATTTTTTAATAAATTAACTTCAAAATGTCAATTTATAAATTATATATCAATGTAAAACATACATTTTTTTTTTCGTCTTTGGCAACCGAGTCTCCAAAATGGTGTTGTCGACTATACTGCCAGTGTCGAGTGGTGAAAAACATAATAATTTATTACCCACAGATAACAAATTGCGGTCTTTTAATAATTGTCAAATAATGATGACTTATGTTAGGATTACGTAATTAAAGTATTAAAGCGTATTTTATTGTATTTTAAATTAAGTGTATTTTATTGCTTAGTAATAAATCGATTTTAATCAACATCAGTTCAGTCATCATCAGTTTGCAAACAGTAACTTATATTTATTAATATGATTATCTTCCTTATTTTTCTTTGCTGAATCTCGCTTTAAGGCACTGCAATTATTAATTGCAGTAATCTATAATCTATTATCCGAAGGCCCTTATTACATTTAACAAATGCGAACAATTTACTCGTACCCCGAAGCGTAGTTACTTTGAACAATATTCCAACAAAACAAACAGGAAATCATTATTTTGTGTAGGCTTAGTCAAATCTGAATTGCTATTTACTTTGGAACACGTTATCATAAATAGTACTCATTTAATTTTCTTAGATTTTTATAAAATACCTAGGTATTTCGTAATATTTCATTGCGCAATAAATTAACATGAATTTGGAGCACTATTTTACTTCCAGGCGCAAAATAATATTGTACACTCATTTGTTCATGTTCATTTATGACGGCAACAAAACATCGCTCCGTCTCTTTCACCCGCGCACGACGTCGCCGCGTCCTTCGCTCGAGTTCGACGTTCGACCAGTTGCGCCGCGCATCCAGTTGTTAATACACGTGTGTCGTTCTTTTTGTGCTCCGGTGAATAAAATGGCGGACGAACCTACACCTGGCTCAAGCAAAGACAGTTCTGTTCAACAGCAAGTAGTACCAAGAAGTGCTCCGGAAAAACTACATATTATAAGACATGTCGCAAAACGATTAAAATTCAAGCCAAATAAGGTTTTAATATCTAAAACAAAATACTATGACTTAACCGGTTTACACCCAGATCATTTACAGACTATTAGTGAAACAAATTTAGAAGATATAGAAATAAAGACAGTTGCATTAGATCGATCACAAGTTCACAGAACCTGGGTTAGCCATTTATCGAAAAATTTCAGCTTACCTACTACTGAGCAACTGTTTTGGCAGTTAAAGATGAAGGTTATACCTATTTATATGAATCTAAGTGATTTTAGAACATGGTTATACAAGAATGATTTTATGTGGGAACGAGGTTCCAATGGCGAATTGGTGGTTGTTGAGAAAACCGAAGTACGTTTTGAGAGATATTTGTACCTACAGAAGATGGCCAGATACAGAGAAGAAAATAAACAAATCTTTTTTATTGGTCACGGTGCATTTAATTCTGAGGGAAGACTTGTGACTTTGAAAGAAAGCAACAAAGCATCAAAGAATAACAATGAAATTTACCAACGAATTCTTTTTGCTGTCTCAGCGGCAGGTCCTGATTGTTTGCGGTATGTTGAAAGTTTCACCGAGAAAGTGTTCTTAGATTGGATAAACCAAGTATTTCTGATTGCTGTAGGAACACCGAGCGTTGTTGTATTGAGCTATGATAAACATCATTGCGAAGAGATTATAAAGGTACCAACTTTAGAGAGCTCGAAACGAGATTTGTGTAAATGGCTTGATTATTTCGGTGTGCCTTACGATGCAGGGATGACTAAAGTGATACTACATGATTTGATTGAAAAGTATACAGATTTAACAGAGAAGATTTATGCGGTAGACGCTGTACTCAAGGCGAATGGCCACACCGTATTGAGGATACCGAATTGTATAAGGAGATTGACTCCAGCAACGTTTTATCCTGATATGGTGGACTTGAATGTGAAGGTGAAGTTCTGTGATCAACCAAGTCTGTCTCCAGAGAGAATAAGAGAAACTATTGATGCTATATTTGCGGCTTCTTCTGGACACATGGCTTGGGTACACATTACAAGCGAGGAAAAATGTATTTTGGCCGTGGAATCGTCTGTCGATAAAATGATAAATAAAATTAAACATACGAGAATGAAAACTTCCTGCTCTGTATCATCAATCGTGGATAGTGATATTCCGTCGGATGACTCCGATTCGGAATAGTTATTATTTTGTATTGTTTTATTTTTTGATTATTTGTTAAAATTTCTTTATTGTCAATAAAAGCTTTTATTCATTTATTGTTTTAAATTATTTGTACTTAAGTATGTATGATATATGTAGGTACCTACCTGACTGCCTCATTGGCAGAGTGGTCTCGGGTTCGATTCCCGGGGTATTACTGGGATTTTTAAAATCTCAGTAGTAGCACGGAGTCTGTAAATATGCCCGGTATATGGCAATAGGCTCACCCCCTATTACACATAAATAGTAAAAAGTGGGTGTTACATTGTGTAGTGGCATTAAGTGCCGTAATGTGCACCTCTGCCTACCCCCTTCGGGAATAAAAGGCGTGATGTTATGTCATGTATGTCTCAAGAAACTTTAATTTTGCATTGTTATAAACAATTTTCTCTGTTCTAGTCGGGTCATATTGATACCTAGCTATCTAAGAAAGAAATAATAACTTACTAAAACTAAACAATTAGTGGACTCTTGCTGAACCTTACCTGCCAAGGGTTTCAATTATCTACTAACTTAGTTCGGTGGAAATTTCCTGGCCACTCCATATTTGATGAGGGTCTACCGATTCGGTCCTCCAGGACTACCCTTGACCTCTTTAACCTCTATGATTAAAGAGAAAAATAAATGGACAATGTGCCTCTTTAATAAGGAATGGGATCTGTAATGGTTTTTGGATTAAAGGTCTATTTTTGCGTAGTTTTTTTTTTCATGTTGAGCAAAGAGGGTTGTTGTCATAATAATAGAAAATTGGAAAGGTAATCTTCTTTATGGTATTTGGATAGTGTTTTTTATTTTAGTATTTTGGCTACTTAACCATTGGAAGATTTAAACTGTCAAACACCGAGCGGTCACCGGCGAACGCAACCTATTGTTCGTTAATTGTGTCTATAATGACGGTACTCAACGAGTTATTAAGTAATTAAGTATAAATAAAGTACTTACCTAGTGTAATATGTATAATTGGGTCCAATAGCGCTGATGCCAATACGGAGCCGCGGAGGACTTAACGTATTCCCGGGGCTCCTGCTTGAAGTGCAGGAGTAGCAACCGGGTTGTTTTTAGTCAGTAAGAGTCTGACACTCCCTCCCGCCTCACACAAGCGGGAGAAGTCATTCGATGATTTTCCCGCCTTAAAAAAAGCGTAATATGTACTATTGTTTATAAGCTTTATGTAGGTAATAGGTATTGCTCATTAGTCGAATAATTATGTATCTAGTTAAACTGTCAAACACCAAGCGGTCACCGGTGACCGCGACCTATTGTTCTTTAATTGTGTCTATAAAACCGGTACTCGACGAGTTAATAATCGAAGGTAGCTTTTTTCAGGATTGAATATTTACTCTTAGGGCTGCTGAAATAAAACTGACGAGAATCCTAAGTCCAGGACCTGGCGACGGCTGGTTATCTCATTTCTCTTTCTCTTTAAAAAAAACGTTGCCCCCCATTTGGGTTTACAAACATACAAGTTCACATACACAATGACACCCAGACCCGAAACAACAATTTGTGGGTTACACAAAGTGTTGTTCCGTGCGGGAATCGAACCCGCGACACGTTGCACGGCAGCCGGTTGCCCAGCCACCGCACCAACCGTGCAGTCGAAATGAGTTAGTATCTGGAATTGCTGCTTATCTCTGTATTTGATATCATGGACAGTACCGGGAAGTGTGGATGTGCACTTCAAATGTTTTATTTATGTTTAACGGACATCACAAGGCTATAATAGTACGTAGGTTTTTAAAGGGACTCATCTACTACTTCTGTAACTAAAAAGCGTAATGTAAACTATGTAGGTACATAGTCTACTACTTACTTATATGTACTACCTACCTAGGTTATAGGTAGGGTTGCCACCCGTACTTTATAATAAAGTATTGTACATAAGTTATTTAAGGCAATCGTACTCTATACTTTATAAGAACAATAAACTACACGAAAATATTTTATTTTTGCAAACTTCATTTCTATTAAGGTCGTAAGTATTTTTTATAGTTGATATTTATCGATTTATGTTGAATGGATTTCGCCACTTGCCAGCGCCAGAGACCATTTCTAGTAAAGGTGCAATAAAATTGTTTAGTATTTCAATGCAATTGTTTAGTAAAGATACTAATTTAATAGAAACTGCAAAAAGCAATAAACATATATTTTAAATATGTAACTTAAGACTTTGACTGCCAATAAAAAACTGTTGATGGTAAATCCTCCGCTAACGCCGGTCACCGGTGACCCCCATGGCGTTTAACGTGTAAATACTATATAAGAATAACTTGTACTTTATTTTTGTACTATGTACTTTTTTTCTAAGACCAAAAAAGGTGGCAACCCTAGTTTTAGGTGAAAGTTGATTCATAGCTTCTCTAACATAAATATAGTAAATTGTAATCCTGTTCCTAATCTAATGTAATATTTTGTTATCAATAGGTATTTATAATATTATTTAAGATATTAACCGTCTAAAGAAAAACCACTAGAAAATTAAAAGAACCAACCCTTAAGACTTTGACTACCAATAAAAAACTGTTGAAGGTAAATCCTCCGCTAACGCCGGTCACCGGTGACCCCCATGGCGTTTAACGTGTTAAAAATATCAAATTCTCAAAATAAATTATTTTAAAATGCATGCACGTTACCCCTCTTCCCCGCTCTTTACAACCGTTCGAGGTTCTAACACAATACCAGACAGTACGCCCCTCCCCGAAACCCGCTCCGCGAGCGCTCGCGTCGCGTCTTCAGTACTCAAAGTGATCAGTAGTGGACCGCACGTCGATTTAACACAAAATACTAGGTAATTATTTACTAATTTAACTTATAATTCATTACAATATTTTACATCTATTCTCTTTATGTTGCAGTATTGTCAATATCAACAGTTTTACAATGTTATTTTAGCTGTTAAAGCTATATTTTTATTTGTGGGTTTTTTCCGCTTTGAAACCGGTTTTATCCGGCTTGCGCTAGTTCATTGTTGTCGGATTATGTTGAACGAATGGAGTTTTCTAGCTGTATAAAGTGTTGCTGGACAATACTAGACTTAAAGGAATACAACCCCCTCCTTTCCCGTGCATTTACCCCCCCTTTTCTGTATACTTAGTATTTTATAGTGATGTAGGTTGGGCTTTAGCCTTTCTTTACTGTAAAATGTTAGCGTACCTGGACACCTAGGGTATACTACTACCCACGTAATAGGGTATTACGTGTATTATGTTAACTAGGTTATGTAACAAGGTCTAGCTATTGGGGTAGTGATCGTAAGCGCGATTACCAATCTTGAGATTTCGGGTTCGTTTCTTGGCTGACTCTTATTTATTATTGGAATAATTGTACTTTTTCTTCTCCAGTTTTTTTCGTGTCATTTACGGTCAGATTAACATACCGTACGTAATAGTAATTATCGGATTTGTGGGTTTAATATTAAATGCGTGCATTGTACACTTCTACCTGATACCTTCTGATGATGATAATATTATATGTTCTATGTATCCTTGCTACTATTGGTGAACTACTAATTCGATTGACAAAAGTAATACGAGTATTTCTACTTTAAAACTGGTTTTATCTAGATTATAGATACTTCTCGTTATAAATAGTGTTGTCCCTCTTTTGCAGAACTTGAAAAATGAGTAAGGAGATAAGTCAAGAGCGTCATGATGAACTGTATGACCGATTGGCAATAAGCAAGCATATTATAAATAAAATAAAAGAAGGTGGCAATCCTGTCCCAAATGATCTAAATCAGCAACTTAAAGATGCCGTGTGCCAATACACAGGCGTTAAAGAAGAAACAGTAAAAGAAGCTTTAAACTATAATAAAAAGAAAACATTCACTGATTTGTACATATTTTCTAAAGAATCCCTACATTGTTTCTATAATCCATCAGCATGTTTTCTGCGCTTCGAAGATGTAAGACAAATAATCATTGACCTCTATGTAAACCAACTACAAATACCTAATAAGAAATCAATATTCCAATCCTTGGTGAAATTAGAACGGTATAAAGATTACTTCATATCGAATCTAGAAACCGACATGTACTACATCGGATTCATATGGAGACGACTTCCGAACTTCAAGAAATATATTGTAGTAGAAAAATCAGTACAATTCATGAGAAGGATGAAGTACTTGCAGCGTATGAAGGAATATAGAAGTAATAATCGAGTGCTCATCCATGTCGAAAAAACTTCCATCAGACTTAATAATTCGTCTGCGTCCATTGAAATAATGTTGGCAGCCTGCCCTCAACTAGGCCTGATCGACTTGACTTTTGTACCAAAAACCATGGAAAATTGGCTCAAAACTATAATTCACGGGATACCTTCGAACTCAGTGTTTGTCATGCAACTACCACCGGCTACGGAGGAAACAATTGACTGTATTCCAAAAATTAATAGTCCAAAGAAGGAACTGATTAAATGGTTGGAATCATATGGAATTCCTCACGACCCCAACCAACATAGTGCTGAACTGTATACTCTAATAAAGAAATACAAAAGTTTTTATCCGTGTAGCTATAAATTTTTTGCTTTTTTGGAAGCTGCTGGCCACGAGGTGGTGGTGCGTCCTTCTGAACTGAATGATAGGTACTTCGATTTATCCTTTGTTTCTTTACACAATTTCTCCAGTTCATCCAGCAAGAAGGTCCATCAGTCGGTAAAGAAGTCTTCAATACAAACAACAATCCAACGTAAGTTCTCTGAGTATAGTTTATTGAAATGGCTAAAGGAAGATCGGAAACTGGCCGATAGAGAAATGCAGATATATGAAGAAGATCAGAAACTAGAGTTGATTCTAGATAATCTTATGGATAAAATCAATGACGGATGTATGAGTGAAGCAGATTTTGATGAATGCGATGGCAAAGAGTGTGATCTTAGTATTTATGATCGTCTTTTTTGCCGAAAAACGTTTAAATAACTGTGAATTTCTTTGTAATAAGTATTTGATGTAAGTTGTAACATTTTATTCTGATTAGGTA